CAGAAGGAGGAGTGGAAGGCTGCCATGGATGCGGAGTTCAACAATCTCATTGACAATGGGACTTGGGAGCTTGTTAAGTTACCCGAGGGGTGACGGCCGATCAGCAGCAAGTGGGTCTTCAAGGTGAAGAGTGGAGCTGATGGTGTGTTGGAGCGGTTCAAGAGCCGCTTGATTGCCAAGGGGTTTCAGCAGAAAGAGAAGGTCGACTTCGGGGAGATCTTCATTCCTGTTGCTAAGCTAGTGACACTAAGGACGTTGCTGGTTGGCGCAGCTGTGAAGGGATGGCACATGAAGCAGATGGATATCACCACTGCGTTCCTCAAAGGAGTGCTGCTGGAGGACATCTACATGGCGCAGCCTGACGGCTATGAGGATGGAACGAGCCGACTGTGCAAGCTATCCATGGCCTTAAGCAAGCGCCTAGGTGTTGGTATGAGAAGCTGGAGGAGGTGCTGCTGGGTGGAGGCTTCAAGACATCCCAAGCGGATCACAGCTTGTTTCTTCTTGGAGAGGGGGAGCAGCTGCTCTTGCTGCTGGTGTATGTTGACAACATACTGCTGTTCTCACCTTCCATGGACCAAATTGAGAGGACACAGAAGCTGCTGATGGACAACTTCAAGTGCAATATGCTAGAGGATGTTCACTACTACTTGGGGCTGCAGATTGAGAGGGATGTTGAGAGGAGGTGGCTGAAGGTGCATCAGTCACACTACATCTCTGGTGTCATGGAGCGGTATGGTGTGACTGGGGGTCGCACTGTGATGACACCGTTCCCTGCAGGCTTCAAACTGAAGAAGGTAGCTGAAAAGGATGATGTGCTCAAGGATGAGCAGTAGAATGATTACAAGTCACTCATTGGGAGTGTGATGTATGCAGCTGTGCCTACGCGACCTGATGCTGGCCATGCTTGTGCAACGGCCCACTGAGGAGTAGTTGGAGGTGGCAAAGCGCTTGGTGCGCTACCTCGGATCAACGCCATCTGCTGGTGTTCAGTTTTCAGCTGGCACCAAGATGAAAAAGTTTGGAGCAGACGGGAACCTTGAAGCTGTCGTGCTTCACCGACGCTACTGCGGAGACAACTACTACAATGGGAGCTAGTCTACAAGGAAGGCACAGGGTAGGAGAGATCGTAGCGTTCGTTCCCTATTCGTTTGCTTGTGTGTCCACTACTTGCTCATTCACGGGGAGATTCGGCAAGCGTTTCACTAGCAAAATTTGACAACAATGGTAAGAACAACATTGGCAATAATGAGTACATCAGATCTAGCAAGCATGCTGGTCGACCTCTAGCGCAGTTTGGTCGACCGCAATCTAGTGTTGCAAAGCTCGCACCGCTCTAGCACTGCTGAGAAGCGACTTGCCAACGTTGCAAGTCCACGGTGTGCCAATGCTGCACCAAGTCGCCTACACAGCGTTGCACCCACATGACAACGGTGCACCCGCTTTGCAGGTGCACGCAGCTGGTTGATGCACCACGCATCGTCACGTACATAGCGCAGACGCTAGGCCGAGAACACGCCAGCGACTGCGCCCACCAGCCACGTCGACCTCGGAATACCACTTCCGAGGTCGGCCTCGCAAAAACCACCCTGGCGACCATCGCACACGTCGCGCGGGTAACTCAGTCGACTAGGCAACCACGCCTGGTCGGTCGCTGGCTACAGAAGGCCGGCATCCCCAAAGTCGACGCCAGCTGGTCGACGCCCGGTATACTCCCAGGTCGACCACACCAACTCGGCGCCCTGCTGCTCGACGCCTTACTACCCGGCGCCCTCGAGCTCCCCTGTCCAAATCGACCACGACACCCCCCTCGTCGTCCACCGGGTCAGGTTGACCGCCGGCTCCCTATCGTCGGCGACGTGGCAATAGCCTTGCGTAGGTCGGCCAAGCCCGTCGACCTGCATGCCGAACTCGGCGTCGTCCACTGGAGTTGATCGGTTGCACTCCCTGTACACCCGATTGCAAAGTCGGCTCCCCCTAAGCCAGGACAGGGCCAACAAGAACTCCTGTTGACACTCCCCTGCTGCGTTCACACTTGGGCCCCAAGCCCACACGGCAGCACACCCCGCCTGCGTGCACACATCACACAGCACGCCGGTCACCGCACCAGCCATACAAGAGGGCATGGCACCTACTGCTGCATATCGTCGTCGTCGTCGCCCACGTCGCCACGCGCATTTGGCCGATTGCAACAGAGCACTGGTAGAAAGCTCGATAGTGTAGCGCCTTTGTCAGGAAGTCGACAAGCTGCTTTGTGGTTGGGATGTAATTCAGCAAAAACTTCCCGCCTTCACCATGTGCTACAGCCTGGCGTAGTGTCGCTCGATGTGCTTGAGGTTGCCCGTCAACCCCATGCCCTTGGCGTCCGTGATGGCCGACTTGTTTTCCACCAAAAGGACGGTCGGCGTCCCGACGTCCAGGTGCTGGAACTCTGCAAGGAGGAAGCGAAGGCGACGTCCCTCCTTGCCAACCTCGGTGGCCGCCACGTACTCCGACTCGGTCGATGACAGCGTCGCGCATTTGATGCGCTGGCTTGACCAGGAGACTGCGGCCCTCTATAGACAAACACGTATCCACACGTGCTCGTCCGGTTTGCTTGTTGCCGGCGTCGTCGGCGTCCACGTAGCCGACCAGCTGCAACGACTCTAGTCCACCACCGAACTCCAGGGCGGTGTCACGAGTGTTAGCGAGGTAGGCGAGGCAGTGGTCGACCTCGCGCCAGTGCTGGTCGCTCCTCACTTTGAGGCTACTCCCCAGCTTGCTGTAGGCAAAGGCGATGTCAGGCCTCACCATCGTCACCGCAAACTGCAGCGAGCCGACCTTCTGCCGGTACTCCTCCTCCTGGCACTCCTGTGCCTCCTCGTCGTCGAACGTCTGCTCAGCAATGGCGTCGACAGAGACTTGTGTCTTGAGGATGCGCCCGGTCTGCTCCTCGTCGATGAACTGCCTGCGCAACTTGTTAGCGTAGCCTTGGTGGTGCAGCCACATCTTCCTTGCCGGCCTGTCGCAAAAGATCTCCAGCCCGAGGTACTTCTCCACCGGCAAGAAGGCGGTGAGATCTCGCCGGTGGAGAAGTACCTCGGGCATGCAGGAAGCCAGGCGGCCTCCAAATTCAGCCTGAACGCCGTGGTCCAGGCTGGACCTCCACCATATCACTGCCGGTGGACTCCTCGGCACCCGATTGTTCCCCTGCGTCGTCACCGGCTTCGCTGCCCTTGACGTCCGGCTGCACCAAAGTCGGCTTCCCTGCCGACTTCTCCCTTGTTGTCTGCTCCTCTGCCGACTGCACGGTCGCCGACGGCTCCCTGGTCAGCTTCACTGCGGGCTGCTTCCCTGTCGGCGGCTTGTCTGCCGACACCTCCTTCGCCGGCTCCACCAAAGTTGGCTGCGCTTCCTATGCCTGCTGCTCCCATGTCAGCGTCGACATCTTTCCCACGCCGACTTTCTTGACATCACGTCGGCCACCGACGATGTTCTTGGCCGACGCCACAAGCGACGCCCCACTGCTCCCATCATCGCCGCTGGCCAACGTTGATGTCAGCTCATGCATGTCAGCGACAAGGGGTGGGGAAGGAGAGGCAGGGGAAGGGGAAGGTGGGCGGACGTCCTCAGCGCCCTCATCAGCAAGCTCACCAACCTCGTCAAGCAGAAGGAGTGTCGCCGCCGAGGTGTCTGTCGGCGTGTTGACCTACGTCAGCCCCGACGCCTGTGCCCCGACTTCCACACCTCCAACAAAATAGTCTCGTGGAACACCACGTCCTACGTGGTGACCACCTTGTTGTCGGTGACGTCGAGGAGCTCCCAGCCCTTGCTCTCCTCCAACACACCAAGGTGAAGGCCCCACTTGGCCTTCGGCTTCAGCTTTCCACCACGCTGCTGCTCGGGGACCACGAACTACGCCATGCAGCCCCACACATGGGCCAAGGTCAAGTTGGCCTTCTTGCCGGTCAGCAGCTGGTGCGGCATCGACCCCAGCAGCAGTGTCCACCTCTCCAAGCAGTTGCGCACACAGACAGCCTGCAACAGGGCGAGGTGCCACCAGTGGTGCTGCACGCCTATGTGCAGCAGCATTGTCCGCACCGACTCCACCACCGTCCTGTGAACGAGTGAGCGGAAAAAGGAATGAGTAGAAACAACCAGTACAAGGAAGCAAATTGCAATCCCAAAGGGGGTTATACCCTCTGCAGCATAACTCAGTGTAGCACCTAGACTAAACTAACAAACTATAACAGTAATAGTTTGCCACACCCCCATAGTCTAGGTCACGGTAGTCCTGTGGAAACCAACACACAACCCAAGGGCAAGGGTCACAGGACCAGTCAGCAAGAACAATTAATAAGTACAGATATAGAATATATAGTGAGATGCAAGAGTGTTATGTAATGCTATCATTTGCATTCACGCATGTCTGCCTCCCATCATATGTTCATGCGTTGCATGCATGGTGTGAGCGTGTGCAAGAATTTGTGTTTGGTGTGGTTTGGATTCTCTGAGTGTCTGGATCGGAGCAAGAACGACGAAGTTATAATCGTTCGAAGTTTTTGATTGAGATGCAATGACTTTGAGAAATTGTGAAGTGACTCAATATGGGGTACAGACTTTTGGGGGTTGGGAAATTCGTCCCCATCACTGTAAATACTGCCAAGTGGTTGGGAGAAACCAAATTGGGTTGGCAAGTGTGGCCAACTTGGGTGAGGTTGATTGTGGAGGTTAGGAAAGTGACAAATGTCAAAGTTGGGGTACCCACAGAGAGGGGAATTGTGTGGCATGGGGTTTCCTTGGTTGGGGACTCTATTGGGACCTTCCCTCTCGTCCTCCTCTTCCCCTCCTACCTGGTTTCTAGCTACTCCAACATTCTTGTGTGGTTACTTGTGAAAACCCTTATCATTGAGTTAAGTCTCCATGGCAGCATACCCCCTAGTGCACCAAAATTGATAACTCGAGATATACTCCATGTTTCGATACGGGTGCGGAGCCTGGGGGTTCTGAGCCTGGGGGTTATGAGCCTAGCGGTACTGTATCGGCTGGAGGTCCTACGAGTGCCTCATCACGGCGGGAGCCTCACTCTCCACTACAGCTGCGCGAGTGGTTTGCTCGGCGCACCCGCCTTCGGAGTGGCGCTGCTGGAGCTGGGGGGCCTGCAGCTGGAGGCACTGCAGTTAATCGCGCTAGAGCTACTAAACCTAGAGGCGCTGGCGGTCCTGCTGGAGCTGGAGGTACGAGGGGTGCTGGAGCTGCTGGTCCTGGAGGAGCTTGTGCTGGAGGTACTAGAGCTGCCGAAGTTGGTGGTGCTGCTAGTGCTAGAGGTGCTGGAGCTGCTGGAGCTGCTGGTCCTGGAGGTGCTCGTGCTAGAGGTACTGGAGCTGCCGGTGCTTGTGGTGCTGCTGGCGCTGGAGGTGCTGGAGGTGATGGAGCTGCTGGTCCTGGAGGTGCTCGTGCTGAAGGTACTGGAGCTGCCGGAGCTGGTGGTGGTGCTGCTGCTGGAGGTGCTGGTGGTGCTGGAGGTGCTAGAGGTGCTGGTCCCCAAGGTGCTCGTACTGGAGGTCTTGGAGCTGCTGGAGCTGGTGGTGCTGCAGAAGCTGGAGCAGGAGACCTTGGAGCTTGAGGTGCTGGAGTTGTTGGTACTGGTGCTGGAGGCACTGTGCGGCTGCGACCGTACTTCGTTCCACTGCTTTGCCAGGTTCTTAGTCTCCCGTCTTCTACTGACCTTACTCCACCTCTACTGTGTCCACCGCCTGACCAGTCGCAGCCACAGTTACAGCCAGCCTCCCCACTACCTGCTCCTTCTCCTTATACTGAGCAGACGGACTCTCTTACAAAGCGTTCTGAGCCTACGTCTCGCCCTGCCTCGCCTGTTCGCACTGGTCGTCGTGTTCCGCGTCCGCGTCCTCCTCCTGCCCCCGACACGCACCTTATGACACTTCGTCCTTCCTCTGTTCCACTACAAGTTCCCTTGTGGTCTCCTTATGCATCCTCTCTTCCTGATGGTCCGGACCCTGAGTCTGACTTAGTTCGTGCTGCTAGTCCTACTGTCACACATCTTCTAGCCGCTGTTGACACTGACCCTTCGTTTGAGTCCACTGCTGCGTCAGCCCTTGTTGCTGAGCTTGTTGACTTTGCTGCCGCCTGTCGTCTTGACTAAGCCACTAGTCTTGTTGCTGACTTTGAGTCTGACTGTCCTCCGTCCATCGGGGGTGAGTGTGCTCTTGGCACGGACTTCCTTGGGGACAGGCAGGAGGACTTTGAGTGTCTTGCAGCTGCTGTACCTCATATCGTGTCCATGTTACCTGCACTTGAGGGAGACCCGGATGCACTAGACATCCCGACCCCGTGCTCTTATGCAGAGGCGATTGCGGGTCCCTACTCCTCTCAGTGGCAGACAGCTCTGGACACAGATATGGCATCTTGGAAGTCCATAGGCACTTACATCGACGCAGTTCCCCCTCCAGGGGCGAACATAGTCGATGGCATGTGGATTTTCAGGGTGAAGCGGCCGTCGGGTTCTTTGCCTATCTTCAAGGCTTGTTACGTTGCTAGAGGCTTTAGTCAGCGACAGGGAGTTGACTTCTTCCAGACCTTCTCCCCTACCCCGAAGATGACCACTCTTTGGGTGCTGCTGCACGTCGCCGCTCAGCGTGACTATGAGCTTCACTCTCTTGACTTGAGCACATCTTACAGGGCAGCTTGCACGAGGAGATCTGGCTGCGCCGCCGACCTGGCTTCATTGGGTCGTTTCCTGCAGGAACCCAGTGGAGCCTCCGGCGGCCACTCTACAGTCTTTGCCAGTCGCCTCGCAAATGGCACAACACACTGAGGACGACGCTTGCGGCTCTTGGGTTTGTTCCTTCGGCTATTGACCCGTCGCTGTTTTTGCGCACCGACACTTTGCTGCCGCTGTTCTACATCTTCGTCTATGTCGACGACTTGGTTTTTGCCACTACTGTCACTGAGGCACTGGCTCTAGTGAAGTCGGAGCTGCAGAAGAGACACGCGTGCACAGACCTGGGTGAGCTGCGCAGCTATCTTGGCTTGCGGATCATCCGGGACAGAGCACGGCGCACCATCACCTTGACTCAGTCACACATGGTGCACCAGGTCCTTCAGCGCTTTGGCTTCCAGTACTCATCACCACAGTCCACTCCTCTGCCTACCGGGTCACTCGCTCTCAGCTCCACCTTCGGACGAGTCCGTAGAGCCGAGTGGCATGTATCTAGAGCTTGTGGACTGCCTCATGTACCTGATGACCTGCTCTCGACTTGACCTTGCCTACCCTCTTGGCATCCTGGCACGCTACGTTGCGCTCGGGAAACACCGAGCAGAGCACTAGGAGGCCGCTAAGAGGGTGTTGCACTGCTTGTCGAGTATGTTGGGCATGGGGCTCGTGCTTGGAGGACGGACTCGAGTTGTTCTCACTAGCCACGCAGACGCGTCTTGGGTTGACGACTTGGCTACGGAGCGGTCGTCACAGGGTTACACTTTCAACCTTGGCTGTGGTTCTGTTTCTTGGCGGTCTACCCGCTCGTCTTCTGTTCTCAGTTCCAGTCGTGAGGCTGAGATCAACGCAGGGGCCATGGCTTCACAGGAGTTACGCTGGCTCACCTACCTCTTGACCAACATGGGAGAGCGGCCTATTTCTCCATGATTGCCTTGTGTCAGGAGTGCGGAGATAACTGCTGCAACGGGAGCTAGGCTACGGGCTAGGCACGTGTGCTCGTGTGATCTCTGCGTTCGTTCACTTAGTCGTTTCCTTGTGTTCACGCTTCTTGCTAGTTCACGGGGAGAATTTGCAAGAGTTTCACTAGGAAAACATGACAACCATGATAGCAACAACATTGGCAGCATTGACTACATCAGAGCTAGCTAGGCTGCTGGCCGACCTCCAGCGCAGCACAGTCGACCGCGCTCCAGAGCAGCACCGCTCGCACCGCTCCAGCGTTGCAGAGTAGCGGTTCGCCAACGTTGCAAGTCCACGTTGTGCTAGCGCTGCAGCAAGTCGGCTGCCAATGTTGCACCCGCAGGACAACGGTGCACCTGTTTCACAGGTGCGCGCAGCTGGTTGGTGCGCACTTCCTTGTCACGTGCCCAGCGCAGACGCCTGGCAGACTCCACGCCAGCGTCTGCGCCCACTAGCCACGTCGACCTCGGGATACCACCCCCGAGGTCGGCATCGCAGACTCCACCCTGGCGACACTTACGCACGTTGCTCGGGTATCCCGGTCGACCGAGCAACCACGCCTGGCTGACCAGCGCAGTCCGTAGCCGGCCACGGATGCCCGGCGTTCCCAGTCCGGTGTCCAGGCGTCCAGGACGCCTTCCGAACCCCCAGGTCGGCGTCCAGACACCCAGGACGCCGACCAAGCCTCCAGAACGGCGTCCCTCATCCTAGGACGCCGACTAGACGCCTAAATTGGCATACGGACCCCCAAGACGCCGTGCAGACGCCTAGGTTGGCGTCTGGCCTTCCAGAAGGCCGTGCAGGCGCCCACGACGTCGACCAGGTGCCCGGGTAGTCGTGGCGACGCCCAGCTTGGCGTCCAGCTTCCCAAGACGCCGTCCAGGCGTCCGGGACACCAACCAGGCGTCCAGGGCGGCGTCCTCCTGCTCGGCGCCCTCCAGCCAGGCGCCCTCCAGCTTGGCGCCCTTGCAGTGGCCCCCGTGCCCATTGCTGCAGGTCGGCTGCAACCCCCACACATCCCACCACAAGGTTGGCTCCGCCCAAGCAAAGACGGGGCCTTACAACACTCCGGTTGACACTCCCCTGCCGCATTCACGCTTGGGCCCCTAGCCCACACGGCAGTACAGCTCCGAAAATAGCCCGTCTGCGTGCACCCAACACACAGCACGCCGGTCACCGCACCAGCCATGCAAGAGGGCATGGCACCTATTGCTGCACGTCGTTGTCGCCGTCGCCCACGTCGGCCAAGCGCACCTGGCCGATTGCGACGGAGCACCGGTCGAAGGCTGGATAGTGCAGCGCCTTCATCAGGAAGTCAGCTGGCTGCTCAGCGGTCGGGACGTACAGCAGCGAGAGCTTCCCGCGCTTCACCATGTGCTGCAGACAGGCCTGTCGCCGCTCCATGTGCTTGAGGTTGCCTGTCAACCCCATGCCCTCGGCGACCGTGATGGCCGACTAGTTGTCCACGCGCAGGACAGTCGGCTTCCTGGCGTCCAGCTGCCGGAACTCGGCGAGGAGGAAGCGAAGGCGGCGTCCCTCCTTGCCAGCTTCAGTGGCCGCCACGTACTCCGACTCGGTCGACGACAGCGTCGCGCACTTGATGCGCTGGCTCGAACAGGAGAGTGCGGCCCCACCGTAGACGAACACGTAGCCACCCGTGCTCGTCCTGTTCTGCTTGTCACTGGCGTTGTTGGCGTCCATGTAGCCGACCAGCTCGAGCGACTCAGGTCCACCGCCGAACTCCAAGGCGGTGTCACGTGTGTTGGCGAGGTAGGAAGGCAACGGTCGACCTCGCGCCAGTGCTGGTCGCTTCTAACCGTGAGGCCGCTCCCCAGCTTGCTGCAGGCAAAGGCAATGTCCGGCCTCGTCGTCGTCACCGCGAACTGCAACGAGCCAACCTTCTGCCGTTACTCCTCCTCCTGGCGTTCCTGCGCCTCTTCGTCGTCGAAGGTGAGCTCGGCGTAGGCGTCGATCGAGACCGGCGTCTTCGGGGTGCGCCTGGTCTGCTCCTCGTCGATGAAACGCCTACGTAGCTTGTCGGCGTAACCTTGCTGGTGCAGCCACAGTTTCCCCGCCGACCTGTCGCGCACGATCTCCAGCCCGAGGCACTTCTGCACCGGCGAGATCTAGCGCAGCTTGAAGGCGGCTTCCAGTAGCTCCTTCAACTTCTTCAGCATCGCGGCGCTGCTGCTGGCGGCGAGCGGGTCGTCAATGTAGACCAGCACCCAGCAGGCCACTCCGTCCTCGCCGACCTTGAAGTAAAGAGCCTCGTCGACCTGGCTCTTCTTCCACCCGGCGCCGACCAGCACATCGTTGAGCGCCAAGTACCACACCAGCGGCGACTGCTTCAGTCCATACAGGCTCTTCAGCAGCCTGCACACCCGGCCGGATCCATCATTGAAGTAGTCCGGCTGGTGCATGTACAGCACCCGGTCGAGCTTGCTCTACAGGAAGGCGTTCTTCATGTCGAGCTGCATCAGGTTGAGGTCGAGGACGGCGACGATGCTGAGGAAGATCCTCAGCGTGACGTAGCTGCCCACCGGCGCGAACGTCTCATCGTAGTCGGCGCCATACACCTGCGTGAAGCCCTTCACGGCCAGCCTCGCCTTCTCTCGCTCGACGGTGTCGTCGATATGGTACTTCGTCATCAACACCCACCGGTTCTTCTTGATGTTCACTCCCGGCGGGCGTTCGACCATCTCCCACGTTCCCATGTTGAGGAGGCTGTGAATCTCCTCCTCCATGGCAGCCTTCACTGCTGGGCCCTTCCAGCTCGCCAACGCCTCCTTCACCGGCATCGTCGAGATATCCCAACGGTGCTCGGGGTCGGCTAGCATGTCGGGGTCGAGCTCTGGAAACTCCTCATCCTCCTCGGCGTCGTCGTACAGCAGGTCGTCGTCATCATCGTCCATGGACTCTGACATGGTATCAGAACGAAGGTTTTGGGTTCGAATCCTGGTGTGTGCACTTCGGGCATCCCAGTACGGGGGGGGGGGGGTCAGTGGTCCACTGGTGATCCCCGGTTGATCCTAGGGAAGGGTTACAGGCACGTTGGCCTGGGGGGTTATGGGCGCACTTACCCGCTACACAAACAAGCCATTTTATCCCAGTGGTTAGTGGCTAGGATTCTAACATGGTATCAGACCGAAGGTCTCGGGTTCGAATCCCAGCATGTACACTTCGGGCATCCCAGTGCGGGGGGGTGTCAGAGGTCCACTGGAGATCTTCGATTGATCCTAGGGAAGGGTTACAGGCATGTTGGCCTGGGGGGTATGGACGCACTGACCCGCTACTTAACAAGCCATTTTATCCCAATGGTCTAGTGGTTGAAATTCTGACATCCCAAACTTGGAGCTGCATGAGAACCTTGAGCGCATCAGCATTCAAGTGATGGCTGCAAAGGCCAACGCTTCATTCGCTGAAGGGGTTGTGTTTTGATTTATGGGTGAACTTTAATGCTTATTGGA